CGTAAGCAATCCTGACTCCACTCGTCCATGCGTCACGCGTCTTTGGTAGCGCATACTATGAGGGCTCTATTTTGGGTGGCGTTATTTACAGCGCTTTGCCAACGGCGCCAACCCACTTAAGTCTAGAGCGGGGGGAACACACCGAGGGGCGGGCTTGTTTTACAGCGTCGTTGCCAAGCGACGAAAAGCCAATCCCGATGGCAAACACCGGGGGGGGTATACTCATAGTCGTGCATGCCGTAGTCGTTAGACCATTGACTTCGCATCCCTACAAAGCCGGGACGGAGCACGCCGGGTTCTCACCGGACCAGGCTCTCACATCACCAAGCGCGAAGCGCCGTGAGATATTCGGCGAGTCGCATGAAGGGTGCGCTGCATCCTGCTAAGGGTGTTCGGCATCTTGTGCTTACTTCCTTGCGTACGGATGACAGCTGCGTATGAATTAATTTATTTTCTGGTGCTTTCACTTCCAGAGACAGTTGTAAGCACTGTGTAACTGCCTCGAGGGTGCTTGACCATTTTAACACAACGTGGTGCGATCATCCCCCTTGCGCGGAGTGAGGGTTCTCCACCCCGCACAACATGATCTACTCGACCACCATTATGGTTACCACCAAAAAAAAAAAACGGAGGAAAAAAAAAAAAACGGTAACCTGGTTGCCGAGTTCACGAAGTGAATTGGCTTGTTTTACAACGTCGTTGCCAAGCGACGAAAACCCAACCCCGATGGTAAACATCGAGGGGGGGGGTGTACTCATAGTCGTGCATGCCGTAGTCGTTAGACCATTGACCTCGCATCCCTNNTAAGAAAAAGAGGGAAAAAAAAAAACGGTAACCTGGTTGCCGAGTTTACGAAGTGATTTGGCTTGTTTTACAACGTCGTTGCCAAGCGACGAAAACGTCGAGGGGGGGCTTGTTTTACAAGGTTGCCGAGTTCACGAAGTGAATTGGCTTGTTTTACAACGTCGTTGCCAAGCGACGAAAACGTCGAGGGGGGGCTTGTTTTACAAGGTTGCCGAGTTCACGAAGTGAATTGGCTTGTTTTACAACGTCGTTGCCAAGCGACGAAAACGTCGAGGGGGGGCTTGTTTTACAAGGTTGCCGAGTTCACGTGAAATGGTTTGTTTTACAACATGTTTGCGAATAGACGAAACAATCTCGACGGCAAACACCGGGGGGGTAGTCAAAAGCGTTGCCGGACATGTCCAATCCGAGTGTCGAACTCGGGTTTCCACAGCCACAATGTGGTGTACTGACCACTATACTAATTAGACACCGTGTACTTGGTCGGGGGCTGCTTTTTGAACAACGCCCACCCAGACGGGTACGCCCGCCCCACCTCAATTCCGTACGTAAGCCGAGCGGTTTGCCTGCATTGTACGTCTCCCCTACGCAAGCCCCGCGTGTTTTGCGCTTGTCCCCTTCCCACACAAAGTCCTACGTACTGCCGCCGGTGCCATTGTGCGCGTTTTGTTCTTCATTCAGGCACCATCTGTTCCGGGTTGACCACATCTGCACTCACGGGCGGATGAAGGACAGGGTGGCGTTTTTGCAGTCGGGGCCCAACCCCCCGTTTCTCTTCATTGTGAACATCCAGGTCGGTATATCTCAAGACAGGGGGCGAGTTCAGCCACACCAGACGGCAGCGGCAATGTCAACTGTATCTATGTTTCTTATGTTGTTTTGCTCTACATAGCGTTGGTGTTCTGGCTTTGTTTTTGTGGTTCTCTTCGGCATATGTTTGTGTCGTGGGCAGTATCCACATGGGTGATTATGTGGTGCGTTGAGGTGTCATCAAAAAGCACAAAGGAAGCAGGCACCTACAACACTTTCTGATCAAAAAGATATCCTGCGAGCGGTTGCTGGGTTTAGCAATTTGTTTGGCATGGATGATACGTGGTGCTTTGAAGTGTCATCGAACATGCACAGCGACCAGGAACCGACAGCATGGTTCTGATGAGAATACATCCTCCACTTCATCCTCCTATGCATATGCATATCTGGAGGTGTCATGGATATGCACAGTGAAAGCATGAACCAACACCAATTTCTAATGATTTCTAGTGAGTTTTTTACGCTTCCTTTTGATACCTGTCTGTGTTTTTTTACAGATGCCCGGAGACCGGGCCCACAGCGTGGTGCTGTGCTGGGGGATGCGCCTGAAGGAGGCGATGGAAGCGGACAAAGCGGGCAGGCTTTCTCCAGAGGACAGCAACTTTCTCAGGCTTTTCATGAGGCAAGAGCTCATTTCCAGGACCGTTACCCACCCGCTTTTTCGCGTTCTTGGTAATCTAGCAGTTGTCTGCTATCGGAAAACGTTTCAATAGAAAAATACTACCACGACCTCGGTCTCCGTCTACCGAGGGAAGCCTGTGTCCTTCTGTTTGCATTCCTGAATGGTCTCATCACCCGTGCACAGTCTTCCTTGCCATTTGCCTTCTAAATATGGCGCCACAGTCGGTGTCATGGGTGGTGCGGTGGGGACAGTTGGGGTATTTGCGTCGACCTCTTGAGCTTGGTGCGCTTCCCTGGCCGTTGGCCTGCCTTGTCCCCGAGAAAGGGCGTATCTATTTTGATCCCCGGCCGCCTTCTGTCCGCACACGAATACATTGGTTGCCCCTACCACGAGCCTGCGACTTAAGTCGCCGAACCACGTCCCCCAATTTGGTGGTCGATCGCGGATTCCGAATTGTGATCTAGACTTTTGTTCGGGTTGTGGTATGGCAGTCCTATGCCCTTGGGACTGCGAAAGGTCGCATTCTGTTCGAGCTGTGCATTGGCCTGCTCATCCATGGCGCTAATCTTCATTGCGGGTGTTGCTCGGCTCTCTCCGATAAAGGAAGGGCGCCACGGATGTGGAGACTGCAGTATTGTTTTTTTTCATGACTGTTTTCTCATGATTGCGCCCCAGTTATTAAAGGTGTCTGGATAAGGAATGTATTGGTGCTTGCTGTTTCGTGTTGGTGGTGAGGCTGTGCCCAAGGCACGAACTAATGGTTACCATGGTACATGGCAAGCAACATCGGTTCCTCCTCCCTCCCCTCGTCTGTATCGGTTAACTGCACTGTCGACAAAGGTACATTTCCCTGGACTTGGAGGGAGGGCTTCCGCTCAACGACATCCGAAACCGCCGACTGAAGCTGTTCCCGAAGGTACTGGAAGGGCCGTGGGTCGTGAGGAAGGCCGTCGGCAAGCCGTGCGTCATCGGGAAGAAGCTAACGGCGAGATACTTCCGAAGGTGAGCGAGGTTTGTCGTGTGCGACCATGTATTTTGTTCTGGCTGAAGCGGAGCACTGCACGTGCGCGTGTTGATCCCCACAACGACGCGGTTGAGTGTTTTTCGGTGGGCCTTCGGTAGGCCTCCGGCAGGAGGGGGAGCTGTGTGTTGCCAGGAGAACAAGACACGAAGTGTCGCGGCAACACGATTGCCCACTGTCATGCAAATGCATGGTGTGCCTGTGGCGCTGGTGCGTTGTAGCGTTTTTTGCATGGCTTCGGCCGCCTCGGGTGAGACAGTTTGGCTGGGGCAGCCGCGCTGTGCTCCGCTACTTGGTGTTGGGATTGGATACGGTGTAACGACGTCTCTTGCAGGACCGGTGCGCGGCGTGCGTCGAACGCAACTTTTGCGTTTTATCTTATGGGTGGGCATGCCTCAAGTTGATGTGAAAATCGACATCCGAATGAACTCTGCGTGTAAGGACTCGAAGACGGGATCGCAGGCCTCTATTAATAGCATCGTACCGAGCAATGCGAGACAAATCCGCTCAATGTTGTCGCCTCCATCCAGCCTTGTTGCTCATCGAGTAGGCGTGGTCGGGCGCGCCTCCCTACCATTCCCACCTTCCGCTTCGTGACTCTACCAACCATCTCCTCTTCGCTCCTGTGTCCCTCGGGTATCCACTACTGAATGAACAAACGTTAGGCCCGGGTACTTCGAGGTGGACATCGACGTGGGGTCGAGCACCCTGGCTAGCAACGCCACCCACCTCGCCGGCGGCTACGCCAAGAACCTCGTGCTAGACCTGGCCTTCGCCCTTCAGGTTCGTTCGTCAGCCCCAACACGCGAGACTGCGGTGTGGATGGAGAGGGCAAGAGAATGACCTTTGGGCCTCGGTTCGAATGTAGCAGTTTTGTTGTTTTGTTCTGCGTGGATGGATATGTACTGCGAAATTGCCCTCGTCGACTGGCGTTTCGGTGTGTTAGGCCACGACGGGGCCTGAACTACACTATTTCAGGTCTCGAGGCTACGTAGTCTGCCACAGGATGGTGTTGACCGAACTGTTTCTGTGTTATATGTCCCATACGCTTACCGTCGCTTGCGGTTTCTACCTACCTCTCGAGCTTCAGGGTTTCGATGGGGGTACAAGAAGATCGCCTTTAGGGGTGCATGCCTCCTTTCATTTTATCACCCAACAGAAAAGCAGGCATTTTTTACCCAAGTTTGCTCACGAACGAGCGCTTTTGACTCTTGGGATACGGAATAAACATTTCGCCGGGATTAGACCTCCCAACCACGGCCACTGTTTACTGTATAGATAAGTGTCACGTATTTGTCATGTGACGTTTTAGTGTCGATAAGATCGTTTAGAGTAGTGTCGCAGCGTTGCCTTGGTCGCGGAGCTGGTTGGTGCAGCGGGAACGATGTCTGCAGCAATCTCTCGTGTCTCTCCACATCGAGCGCCTCTCTCGCTCTGTGTCATCCGCTGGTTTCCGTGTGTTGTACTTCCTAGATGGTGCACAGTCACGTGAAGTTGTCGGAGATATTTTGCTCGGTTCGTTCCTCACTGTGTGTTCCTTGTTATGTTACGAGGTGTCGAGGCCCAGCCGCCTATCGGTGTCATTACATCAATGTCAGGGGCGAACGTGCAGTTTCTAGCTCCGTACCTTCACCACCCTTCAGGTCGGCAAAGAAGCAGGACGGGCAAAGGCACAATTTTGAAACCCCCTCTGTGTCGCGTGATTCCACCGGCACTGTGTACAGCACTCCTAAGCTGGCACTGCGAGAGCCCACAGCAGCTTGGCAAACATCAATAGATTGTTGCGTGCTTTTTTCTCCCTGGCCCGCATTAATTGTTTGTCCCCGATCGTGCCATATGATATCGTGCCAGGGGGAATCCGACGACGAACTCCCTGAGAGACTAATCGGGAGCGCGCGGATCGTGAGACCTGACCTGGGCAGAGCGGAGCCTCTGGACTGGTAGCGATAGGGACGAAGAGCTCTGCCTCACGTCGACGCAGAGGGGGGAAAACTGCTCCACTGTTCATAGATTGTTTGCGCATAGCGTTTTGGTAGCGTACGGTACCATATCAAGGGGCAGTTGTTCGGCAGAGTCGATCGTTGGTCTATCTCCTCGCAGACCGAAATCTTTGAACGTTTCTGGACGACGAAACAAAGTGGAGAGTGGCCGTAGACGAAGATACCGGCGGTTTGGTTGTGTACCGGCAAGCGGAATGTTCCCGGGGACCCTTGATCATGGAAACTATTGTCGACTCATCCGCTCCCGTGATCTGTAAGAGAGAACACGTGGGGCTGGAGTGCGATTACGCGGAAGAGCGTGTTGGGAACTCACGGAAGTGCATGGCCAGAACGTAGGGTAGCATTGGCGGACCCACCACGGGTGAACACCAAGAAAAATTGTGTCTCCTTGGCCTATCTGTCGGTCCGTCAATAACTTTCGAATGAGCGTTCGGGGGAAATGGATCGAAAATACATCGCTTCTGTGGACATGTTGTTCTCAGTAGAGTTGGGGTGCGGGCAAGTTATTGAGTGTCTGACAATCCCAGCCTTATCGCGTGTTGTGTCGTGGTCGTAGTTCCCCGTCTGCGTGATTGTGTTAAAAGAGAAGAGACAGTAGTTGTGCAAGGTCGGTAGTAGAGGTGGTGGGAGTCACGCATTCGCCGCCAACCAACCGGGGCGATTCGCAAGTATTTATGAGAATTGGTGCATGTGCTTTTGGACGGTGGAGCCCCACTACTACTTTTAGCGCATGCTCATCACTGAGGTTGCGAAGATCGTTCCCCCCCCCTGCCGATGTGAGAGCCTGGTCCGGCGTGCTCCGCCTCGGCTTTGTAGGGATGCGAGGTCAATGGTCTGATGACTACGGCATGCACGACTATTAGCCCGTCAAACTCGGTTCTCTTTCTTCGTTCCATCACACGTGAAAAATCGCCTCCATTCTCACCCTCAACGAGGAACATCTCTGAAGGTCTCCTGTTCACGTCAGGCATGGAGGACTTGGTAAAGTAGTAGCCGTGGGGGGGGCGTACTCTTTTGTTTTGATGCCTTAGTAGTTAGACCATTGACCACGCATCCTCGAGAGAAAGGAGCATTGTTCCCACAGGACCGATCACCGATGGCCAATCGTTCCTTTCTACTTTGCCAAAGGCGGGTCAAAAATGTCGTCCCTAGTCTGTCTATCCTAACGATATCCCTTCCCGCCTTTTCAACCCAACTCCTATGTATGCCCCAGTACAGCTACCGTCCTTTCCTCCCTATTCCGTGCCTCAAACATGTCTGTGTACGTCCCATCTATTTTTCCCAGCTCAGTCACGTACACTTCCCTCTCCTTCTTGGACCACGGACATTCCGCGACTACATGAACATAGTCTTCGCATTCGAAGCCGCAATCACATTTGAACTCGTCGTCTTCGTCGTCTACCGTTCCGATGTCTTCGTCGACGTTCTTGAAGGCCTATGTCACCGGTCCTGAATTTGACCTCAAGCTTTGTTCCTGCATCCATTGGTTCATGCAGGTAATCCTTGAACTCTATTCCTTCCTTCAACATTCCGTACACTTCTAGACCCTCCTTATCCTTGGATTCTTCCCTTAGATTCTGTTCTTCTCTCTCGGCACAAGCAACAGATATCTTGTCCTTGAACCCCTGTAGACCCTCCGTTTCCAGCGTTTCATCTTCGTCGATGTCGAGCCCCTTCCATACGTCCTCTACAACCTTGACCCATTCCGTGGGTTGTCTACCCGTCTTTTTGCCCACTTCGCCTCCCATACTGTTCTCGGTAACCTCTCCTCTCCCATCCCGCACATGCGATACTGCCGTGTCAGCTTCCTAGGCGGTACGATTACGCTCTTCAAAACCGTCAATTTGATGCGTGTATCGAGGTGCCGGGTTGCGGTAATTGGGTGCAGCTTCCCTGCTCGTGCTTTGCCCTTTTCCGCTACCCTGGACATGTGTGCATTCCACGAGCAGTCTT